CACACACACACACACACACACACACACACACACACACACACACACACGAGATCATCACTGGGCATGGTAGCCCACATCTGTAATCCAATACTTATGATGTAGGCTTGTCACAAGCATGAGGCCAGCCTGGGCTTCAGAGCAAGACCCTGTCTCAAGTTCAACAGTGAAAGTATTTATTTATTATGTGATAATCATTCCACCCTTTATAATAACTCATTGTAGATATATTTATCTAGCTTTAGCTGACTAGTTAGTTTTCTAATGTTAAGGTGCCCTCTTCTGGACATCTGTTGTATTGACGACTTTCAGTTTTCATTTTGTAAAAACAATTCTGAGTACGTCTACGTTCTTAGGTATTAGCCCAGGTAGAGTTACACAAACAGAATAGACAGGGTTCCTGAGTTTCTAGAGCAGGGTTATAGCTGGGAAAATCTAGGAGTGTTTAGGCCTAGACAAAGGAGACTGACATGCAAGAAGCTGGAAAACTGGGAGGGGCCAGTTATTCAGGGCTTCAGAGCCTAGAGGCTTTTCTTTGTTGGAGAATGGTTGTCAATTTAAAGTCACTATAGTGTGTGTGTGTGTGTGTGTGTGTGTGGTGTGTTTTACAGGGAAGGACATGAAAGTGTGGGAGAGGACACCTGCTGTTTTGTGCCTTACCTTGTTTTTTGGTTCTGTCCTGATTGTTGGGTGTGGTAGTAGCTTGTTATTTTTGAGACAGGGTCTTTGCTAAGTCTTCAATTTACTACGCAGCTCAAGCTATCCTCAGATTCACTGTAGTCCTCCTTCCTCAGATTTTCTAGTACTTGGATTACAGATGTGTACCACCATGGCTGCTATCTAAGTTTGTTCATCTAGATGGAGAGGCGTTTGTGATATCCAGTGGCATCTGCTAAGTGTCAGAAGGGGTGACTGTTTCAACAAAGGCAGTCAAAAGTCAAGAACACATATTTGTGTGTCCTGTGGCTGTTAGGAGCCACTAACCACACTCCATCCAAGGATGGGGGTTTAAGTCTGTGAAGAGTCTTCCTTCCTTAATTTAGGGTTGGTGGCTGATTGGCCCACAATTGTTGTGTAAACATGTCCTGATCTGCCTTGAACTTCTTGAGCCAGTCCATCACCTGAGGGCCTTCTGGGGGCGGAAAGGGGTAAAGGGGCTTCCAGGTCTTTGTTTGATGTCAGAATTTTGTCTCAGATCTGGAGGCTGAGGAAGACCAACCATCTTGGAAGTTCACCAACTTTATTACCTAGATACAGTCCCTCTTCCATATATCTGTCTACCATGGAGTTTATCTAACTTCTAGTCCCTCATATGGACATCATGTCCATATGTAGAAATGGGTCCACATACATGTGGACACATGCCCTGGGACTGTTGAGTGGTCATTCTGAAGCACAGTATAAGCTAAGGACCTGAGGGATTGAAGAAAGCCTGTCATGCTTTACTGTGGACATTTCTCCAAAATATGAATTGCTAGGGGAATATATTCATGGGTTACATATATAATTAGAAAAAATAGAATGATATCCATACCCTCTTCATGTGTAAACATTGTCTTCTGTAAAGACTGAACTGGTTAGTGTTACTTTGCTCTGCTGTTCATTTTATTGACTACTAGCATTTTACACGAAGGTATGAACTTTGCCAACTACTTTAAGGTAGTATCCAAGAACTTAATATCCCCCAGCCTAAATAAGGGCCCAGAAGCACCACAGTCTTATTTAGACTGCACTGTTGTGAATGTGCCCAGTTCTGAGGAGAAAGCCAAGCTCTCCCTCTCCTGTGAAGCACTATAGGCCCTGCATGCTTCAGAAGAATCCAGTCCTGAAGTCCCGTGGCCTCGTCATTCCATTCTTTTAGTGCAAGTTGCCCAGGACTTGAGGCTGAGAAAGTCTGGAAACATGTTAAATAAGTGTATTAGCGGTAACATTGGAATTTAACTGTGCCCAGTTATGTTTCTGCCTCCAAAAATTCCTTATGCTTATTCAGGTGTAGCCTGGCTTTCCTCTTGAGTCCAATGTCTTGAGTAGGAAGGGCCTGTGTTGTTGCCCCAGAACTGCTGTGCTAGGGAAAAAAGGAAAAGGATTATGTAATTGAACATTATCTTTCAAACTGAGTTCTGGAACTGACAGATCAATATTTGATCTGTATATCTGGTATTTATTTGGAAGTGATGAGGAAGCAGTGGCCCTCCTGTGTGGCCCAGGTATCCCAGTTTATAAGGGACAGTGTTTATTCCTCACAGCAGTGATGTTCTGACCAGCCGGGGGTAAAATGTTCTGGAAAAGGGCCTTGTTTCCCATCATTGCAGCAATGATGGATGCAAAACACAGTTCTCGCCTCAAAGAAAGTAAGAGCCAAGTATGAGTGACCATGGTTCCAGAACATAGATTAGGTTACTCCAAACACTGTGCTCTAAAGCGGTGACCATTTGGCGAGGTTTATATAGTGACAGAGCCTTGAATCGAGGTATTTTTCAAATGCATTGGTAGAAACATTAGGTGAGCGTGTTAAAGCAAAGTGAGGAAGTAGGAGCTCCAGGCTCAGGCACTGTGTGATGGAACTCAGCCGTTTGGTTGGCGGTACTGGCACACTGAAGAGCACTTTCCCAGTGGCCACAAAGATGGTAGCTCACACATAAAGCAGGCAGGAAATGGCTACTGATGGGCTAAAGATGGCCCAAGGTAATTTGATTCTGGACTTGTAATATTCTGAACTCTCCAACATCGCTGAAGTTCTAATAAGTCAGTGGGCCATGAAGGTTCTGTGGGGACAACTTTTTTCCCAAGAATCTTCCTTCAACACAAATAAGGTAAAAGAAACTATTTTTCTGAAATGCGTAAGGAATAAGCTGTCTGTGTGAATGACCTTAAGGAGTTCAATCCTCAGAGGAAAATAAAAATCTTTCTAATTAAATGATTTTTTTCATTTTATATGTGTGGGTATTTTCCCTGCATGTTTATCTGTGTGCCACATATGTGCCTGGTGCTGCAGAACCCAGAGACAGTGTCAGATTCCCTGCAACTGGAGTCACAGGCTGTTGTTAGCTGCCGTGTGGGTACAGGGGATAGAACCCAGGTCCTCTGGAAGAGCAGTCAGTGCTCTTAACCAGTGCTCTGACTGTCTCTCTAGTTCCAAGTTAATAAGTCCTAAGGTAGGCATATCAGTGTATGTCTGTCAGCCTGTACTCAAAATGTTGGGGCAGGAGGATTTTGAATTTGAGGATGTATTGCTATACTATATCTTAAAAGAGCAACAACAATAATAAATCTTGGTTAAATAACTGAGAAAGAAAGAACATAATTTATTATAGTTTAAACTGAAAACGACCTTGTGGTTAGGAAAAGATTAAGACATGCCTTAGATGTACAGAAATACTTTAACAAACAAGCAAACAAACAACATTAAAGTGCCTGGATCTCATTATATTACATTAATTGTTCCATGAAAACATTTGTTATTAAGCAAAATTGAGTTTGTGCCAAATACTGAATGAAGCTATCAAGTGCCAAGTACTCACTAGCTGTCAGTGTGGTAAGTTTAACCCTCAGAGCTGGTTTTCTTGACAGAAATTCATATTGAACGAAATAGGGAGAGAGATAAGGTACATGTGTTTGTGCATCCTTTCTTGTATAATTATGGTGAAGTGGCTGGAAATCTGGTCTATGATTTTATCATTGAAGGGCACCGAATTTAAACCAGGCACAATAATTCTCACCTGTACCCCCAGCACTCAGGAAATGAGAACAGTAGGGTTGTGAGTTCAAGACCAGAATGGGGCATATGGCATGGTCTGTTTCAGCCAAGGCGAGCACAAGAAAGCAAGATTTAATTAGGTAGTTTAGATTTCCTGGAGTTTGTTTGATTGCGAATGTTTCTGAGACTGTTCATGTTTATCTCCTCTCATAGTTATGAACAGAACAAAAATATATCTGTAACTGTGGTTACAGTTTTGTCTCTCCCAGCGCATTACCTCATCTTCCCCCTTCTTCAGGAGAGACTAGAGATTTTATTTAGCTCACTGTTGTGGGGGATGGGAAGTCTGTGATGTTGGCTGGCTTCGGGTGTCATTTCTCAGTACTTCTTAATATAGCAAAGACATCACATGGTGACAAAGCCTGCTTAACTTTTTGATTAAAAATAACTCCTTAACTCTTGGCCTACTTGTTACTTTTTAGACATTTTATTTCCACATTTTGTTTATATTTAGGCCTTTTTGTCTCAAGAATAAGAATGTCTTTTGCTTGTTCAGGAGCGTTGAGGGCTAGAGCCTGGTTGTGTTGGTTACTTTTATGTCAACTTGATGTAAGCTAGAGTCATTTAGGGAAAAGAACTCTCAGTTGAGAAAATGTCTCTGTAATTTCTTGATTAATTTTTGATTAATGATTGACATGGGAGGGCCCAGCCCATTGTATATACCTAGGCAGGTGGGCTTGCGGAGAAGAGCCAATCAGTAAGCAGCATTCAGTTGCCTTAAGCTTTGGTTCCTGACTCCAGGTTCATACTGACTCCACTTGGCTTCCCTTGATATAGGAAACAAGGTCCTCATTTTATAACAACAAATTAAAGAGAAGTCTAGTGAAAATAAAGCCATTTTATAATACAACATTCTGCAGCAAAGGACACATAGAGAAAGGCAAAAGCGGCTGGTGTGCTGATGGGTACAAGACAGTGTCTTAAGCTCCCTGACCTTAAGAAATCTCTGTTCCCTTTTTCTGCCAGCTGGTACTTTAGAGACCCACAATCTCACATTCTTCTAGCATAGCACTTGCCCAAATTCCCCATCCTATTGATTCAGGACACAAAGCCTTAGCTAGTGAAGCTTCTGGGGCTTAGCCACATAGCAGACTGTCCGCAACTTCCCAGCTCTGAGTGTTCTCAGGCAAGCAGGGTGTACCTCGGGGTGAGAAGGCCCAGTGCCTCCTGCTCTTCTGTAACTCTTTGATGAGCTTTAAATGCACCTCATACTGAAGCTGGACCAGAAGGATTTGTTTATCATGTTGGTGTTACCTGGAGTGTAAGCCATTGAACCCTTTCCTCCCCTAGGTTGCTTTGGTCATGGCGTTCACATGGCAACAGAGGCAAACTAGAACAGTTGTCTCCATAAGCACGGCTGTCTGGGGCCTAGGGAATTCAGAAGATAGGAGACTCTTATCTCTGCTGTGTTACCCCGCTATCATTGGAGGGCACCCGTCAGGAACGTTCTGTCCATCTGAGCTGCTGCCCGTATGGACCACGAGTTCTAGGCTGGCTCTGTCTATGGGCCTTGAATGTTTTATCTAACCTTCTCTGGCACCATTGTCTGTATGTAAAATGGGAATAGCTTTGTATTCACAGAGTTCTAAGCTTGGCAGTGTCTGCAGCTTGATAAACTATACTGTACGCAGAAACTTTCTTCTGCTTGTTCATTCAAGGTTTTCCGGGTCTGACAGCAACTTTCAGGAACTGTTCCTCTCCTTTCACCCTAGGGTCCTGGGCCTAGAACTCAGGTTCTCAGCTTTGGCAGCGAGAACCTGTACTTGCTGAGCTGTCTCTCTGACTCTTTGTTTTAGTTTTGAGACAGGTTCTCAATACACACACACACACACACACACACACACACACACACACACACATATATTAGACTGACCTTAAACTGTCGATTCTTCTGCCTCCATTTATGAAATTCTGAGTAAAACCACCACACACAGCCAGTTGTCCAGCTTTAATTATTTCTTGAGAGGTTACTGTCTATCTGTTCTCTCCCCACTGTTTGTCCCCACTCTACATTTATGTCTATGGCATCCTCTAAAATATTTCATTTGTACTTTTTATTTAAATGTTCTTCTCTCCAGAACCTAAGAGAAAGAATCATGCCTTACTCATTGTGTAAATCTCTGTATAGCATAATACTTACTAAATGGCAGGCAAAATCGGGAATTTGGTTGAATTAACTACCCGAACCTTAAGATGTTTGGTGGCTCAAAATAAATGTTCTGAGCTTTAATGCTTAAGTGCTCAGACATAATGTATAATATTTATTTATAAAGTATAATGACTTCATGGGTTAAAAAGTAATCAAGTACTTGATGAATAAATGTGGGCTGCCAGTATTGACCCAGGTGCAAGATCTCTAAACCTTACTAAACCTTATAATATCTAGTTCAAAGATATAAAACGTATATAAATTTTGTCTAAAGAATGTGTAGGCTGGGAAGGAAGGTTGCTGTATAAAATGGTTACATTCTTGTTCCCTGACAAAGTAGTAAGAAAATACAAGAGGCTCTCAGGAAAGTTGATTATTGTAAAAACTAACGGTCATGTAGCACCTGCACAACAGGACCAGTTATGCGAGCCAGGAACTAACTGGCCTGGAGACTTAAAATCCCACGCACACACAGACAGAGACACAAGGAAACGGGTCATCCTTGATCCAAGAATGTCAAGTTTATTGTGCTCAGTTATTGTGCTTATATAGGGCTCTGGCCACACCCCAGCTCTTTCAGCTGCAGACACACCAGCTGCCGTCAAGGTCTTGTGCTCAGAGCAGCTGCAGGGACAGGTAAACAAGTTGTTTTGCTTAGATCACTCCAGCAGGCAAAGGATCTGAGGCAAGAAAGTCAAGGGGCCAGGGATCTATAGCTCCCAACAGATTCTGTCTGATCAAGGAACAGAGGAAGGAGAGGGTCAGGTTCCTCAAAGCAGTGTTGACACAAAGTCTTCTGTCCTAGGTGCTCTCCTTTTTCTTCATTGGTCTGATGTCCATGATGATTCCCCTGTGCAGCGTCTTTGGGGCCCTCATTGCTGTCTGCCTTGTCATGGGCCTCTTCGATGGATGTTTCATTTCTATCATGGCTCCCATTGCCTTTGAACTAGTTGGTCCTCAGGATGCTTCCCAAGCCATTGGATTTCTACTTGGATTCATGTCTATACCCATGACCGTGGGTCCTCCAGTTGCAGGTAAATAAAACAATTCTATAGTAATTATGCTAATTCATAGCATTTTCTACTTTGGGTCCTAAACCTCATTTATTTGTAAAATATATTTGACATATTAATAGTTATTGTGTGTTTTCTCTCTCTCATTTTTAATAAGACTATATGTTGATAGTAGGTTGAAAAAGTCTATTGGGGAGCATTCTGCAGGTGTTTGTGTGTGCATGAGTATGTATTAAGCCTAGGGCCTTGTACATGCTAAACAAGCACTTACCTCTGAGCTACATTCCCCACAAAATATTACTTGTTGGGAAGTGAGTTCTGGACATTGAACTTGGACAGGGAATGTACTAAATATATTCTTTTATTGAGCTATGCATTTAGCCTCAATTTTTTTCAGTTCTGTTAATGTTAGACAAATGGAAACATAAAAATGAAGATTCTGATAGATTTCTAAACATATAGTACTTTTACTTAAGAAGCATACCCCCTGAGAAATGGTCGAAGAAAAGTTACATGTAGTGGAAAGAACATGGTTGTCCATGAATATGAAAATAATGTGCCTGGGCTTGGTGGTACACACCTGTAATCTCAATTTGTGGGAGGAGAACTGCAAGTTCAAGACCAGCCTGGTCTACATAGTGAGTCCCAGGAGAACTGGGATTATATAATGAGACTTGACTCCAGTCAGTTAATAATCAAAAAGTAAACAAAACCAAAAATATATCATCCATACAATGGATAGGATAAGTATTATTCAGCCATAAAAGTAATAAGATAGTGACATTGATACATGCTAGGGACACTGATACATGCTAGGGACACTCTATTGTTCACATTTAAATGGTTACCTTTATGTTAGTTGAATTCTACCTTTAGAAGCCTTATAAGTGATGGTGTGATGTCTTACTTGGGTACCAGTTTTCAACACAATTAGGGTAAAATTTCCATTATATACTGTCACCTGTGTTTGGGATAGTGGCTCAGTGAAAATTCAGCTTAATTCATTCTTATGTCTGGAACCACATTGCTGGCCCAGAATCAAGGAAGCAAGAGCTACTATGGAGCAGATACAATAGAGTTTAAGTTCTAATGGTGACAATCCCATAGGAGCCTCCAGTTCGTCCTCTTTTCTCAGGTTCACTTAGCTTTGTTGGGAGGTTTCAGATAGACAGGCAAGGGCAAGCATTTCAGTGGGAATAGTGTCGCTTTAGTAGGACCAGTGGTTTAGTAGTTCAGAGACCAAGAGTGGGGCGGGTAGCAGGAAATGTCTGAAGTAGGAAGAATATGCACGAGCAGCTGACAGGACAATCACCACTCCCATTTCCCCAGTGGTTCAGGGGTCATCATAGTATTGCAGTAAAAACCTGTTTATTAGTATTCACTGGATGAAATGTGAGACGTTTGGATTCTGAAGACAAGAATATTGCATATTTAAAGAGGTTGTGTATTTTATGTTTAGATTCAAGATACCTGTTCATTTATTTGTATGTATGTAGGTGTGCCACTGGATACATCCTTAGCTGTGCATTAGATGAAGTTAGACACTTGTCCCTGGATATTTTAGATAACTTAACATTTCACAGTAAAAGTTCAAACACTGAAAAAACTTAGAACTTATAGTCCCAGATTTTTTTTAAAGGAAATTTAGAAGTAAAATAATTTTTTCCAGAAGCAGAGCCTAAGAATTCATCAAGTGTCAAACACACACGTTTGGGCCTCTGTTGATTTTGAGACAGGGTCTTTCTATGTACACTAGAACTCTGTAGTCTAGGCTGGTTTTAAACTCAGAGGTTCATATGCCTCTACCTTCCAAGTGCTGGGGTTAAAATCATGTGTTTCCAGGCCTGGCCAGATGCACATTTTTATACTTTCTTCCCAAGGATGGGCAAGCCTTATTATCTTTCTCCAATGTATTTAAAAGTCTCTCTTTTGGACTAGAGACATGGGTCAGTAGTTAAGAGCCCTGATTGCTTTTCCAAAAGACCGTTTCCCAGAACCCACATGGTGGGCAACTGTATAACTCCAGTCTTCCTTATGTGCCAGGCAGGCATTTGGAGCCAAACATTTGGACAAAAACCCATATACATTTTTTTTTCTTTCTGAGACAGGGTTCTCTGTGTAGTCCTGACTGTCTTCGAACTCACTCTGTAGAGCAGGCTGGCTTCAAACTCAGAGATCTGCCTGCCTCTCTCTGCCTTCTGAGTGCTGGGATTAAAGGTGTATGCCACCACTGTCCAGCGCGCACACACACAATTTATGAGTCTCTTTTTTTTTATCCCAACTCTTGGATTTATAACTTTTCATCTTATTGTATTAGAGTTTAACGTAGCTTCATGTTAAAGTCAAATAAGATCAAACTGAGGTGTAGATGTTTTAGAGACCTTTGATCTGGTTGTTCCCACCCACCCTCAGCTGAAACAAGGGCCATTACACCAAGTATCCTTGGTGGCCTCTGAGGGGCTTTGGGATTGCCAAATCATAGCTGCTAAAACTTTTCACAAGTGATATTTTGGTATGACCTATATTCTATAGTAAAATTTTAGGTAGTTTTTTTTTTCCTTCCTCACATCAGGAAAAGGTTTACATTCCAAGCCTGTTATCTGAGCTGGGCCTGCCATCAGTGTGACTGAGCTGGGGGCCAAACCTGTTCTCTCCTTGTGACAGCTGCTGTCTCCCTTTCCAGGGTTACTTCATGACAAGCTGGGCTCCTATAATGTGGCCTTTTATCTTGCTGGAATCCCTCCCTTTGTTGGAGGCATTGTGCTCTGTTTAATCCCGTGGATCCATAGTAAGAAGCAAAGTGAGGTCAGTAGAAGCCCTGGAGGGGAGAAGATGGAGAAGATGCTGGAGAACCACAACTCTCTGCTGTCGAGCTCCTCCAGGATCTTCAAAAACCAATCAGACTCTATTATTTAATGCCAGATATACCTCCACCTGACTGGATTTGCTTTTGAAGTTTTCCTTTTATATGAATTGCAAATTTCCTATTTTTTTAAATCATCCTTGAAATAGCACAAATGGGAAATGGAGCCTTTATTTCCACAGGAGCCATTTTCTCTCCCCAGACAGCTTTGATATTCCCAGGAACTGGGAAGAGACTGTTACAGCAAATGTATCTGGAAGTTGAACTCGAGAACTCAAAGCTGTCTTCGTAGCAGGCAGCCGTGAAGCCGTGGATGCTGTGTAGCTGGCCCAGATACATACAGTGGACTTCGAGCTACGTGAAAGGGTAGCAGTTTGGTTCATACCGGAAGTATTTTGTTGGTTGCTTCATTTGGTGTTTTTAGTTCCAGTGTTTTAGTTTCTTCTGCATTTTGTAACTTTTTGCAAAATTTAAGCCTGGATCCTAGATAATAACCTAAACCTCAAGTCTGTTAAATGATTTAAGCTATGAAAGTGGGTGATTCTGACATGCTCCAGTGTCATGGGACCTCCTGGGAGCAGAAGCTGAAGCACCCAGAATGTCTGAGATGACGGGTCCTCTCATAGGTCCTCTCATAGGCAGCCCTTGGGTGCGTTTTCTGCTCAACCACGTTCCCTTTGGTCTCTAGTGTGCTTTACTCCAGTAGCCAGAAACACACCAAATTTCTGATTTTGCATAGACAATAAAGTAAAATAGAATGTATAAAAGCTTTCCTGGTAATTTTAACAGGATTTTTCTGACTTCTGGATTTATTGGTACTGTATTGTGAGTGTCTTAATGAGCATATTATCAGTTGGTGCAATGGGCACCGATTGGAGGTATGTTGGACTGTTTTACACATTAGAAAATATCTGATAGAAATCATTGCTTAAATTGACTTATGGAATTAATGAATTTAAAAGGTTAAATATACTTATGAAAAGAAATAATTCCTAAAATTTCCAAATAATTTTAGCAAAACTGTGCATTTGTGTGTACAGTCGTGTGGCGGTGACGGGGAAACTGTGAGAAGCCTGATGGCCAGTGCTGTCCTTGTCTAGACAGAGCTGATGTGCACAGAGCTGATGTGCACAGAGCTGATGTGCAC